TAGTGTTTAAAAGATCTGGCCTTTCTATGGGGAATACAGAAAAGTTCTGAGGAAGCTGGTCACACAGTATTGTGTTTGTAGTGAATGCCAATTCACTCTGTATTTCAAACTGGCTAAAATGGGGACTCTTAGGTTATGAAAAAAAGGAGGGCTTGGAAGGTGGTTCAGTGGTAGAGTGCTTGCCTTGCATGCATGAGGGACTGGGTTTGATTCCTCAGCACCACATAAGCAGAAAAAGGCAGAAGAGGCACTGTGGATCAAGTGGTACCCTTAAGCTGAAGAGCTGAGGGACAGTGCCCAGACCCAGAGTTCAGGCTCCATGAACAACGAAAAGAAAGAAAGAAAGAAAGAAAGAAAGGAGGAGGGAGGGAGGGAAGAAAGAAAGATCTTACTTTGCTTTCATTTGTTTGAAAAAGAAGCTTCAACCTCTGGTAGAGACCAAACTAGAAGTGCTGATAATAGAGTATCATTTGAAAACCGCTGATATTGTTTTCACTATTTCTACGTGGAATATTAACCAGGCAACAGTGGCTCACACTTGTAATTCTAGCTACTCAAATGTCTGAGATTGTGTCTGACATCTGACATTTGTGTTCCATAGCTAGCAGTCTGGAATGTTCATGAGACTCTTGTCTTTAATGAACCACTGAATAACCAGATGTGGAACTTTTGTTCATGTTTTAGGGCACTAGCCTTGAGCATCAAAGTTCACTGACAGCACTCAAGCCATTAGTTCAAAGCTTAAGGACATGCACACATGAATATCAAAAACCTAATTTACTATATTGAGTGTGGGAAGATTGAATGAACCAATGTCCAGCATCTCTACAATCACTACTACATGTTGGGAATATTCCCTTGGATGTCACAAAGAAAACACTGGTCTCATTTTGTACAAAGAAAGTTTGGGAGGCAGATAGGATCACCATTGTTTTTATCTCACATGTGGAAAAATAATGGAAAATCTAAAAATGGACATATTACCATAGAAGAAGTGTATTATTGTAATCCCAGGTCCTTCAGACACTGGAATCTGGAGGACTAACATTTTAGGCCAGCCCAGGCAGAAAAGTCCACTAGATTACTATTCCAAAATACCTAACAAAAAGAAGGTCTAGATGTTTAGCTCAGGTGAAAGGCAGCCTAGAATGTAGGATATTGAATTTCACTATCCAACATTTGTGAAGGAAGGAAGGAAAGGGGAAGAGAAGAGGAAGGAAAGGATGGAGGGAAGGACCAAAAGAGGGAATAGTGGAGTGAGGGAGAGAAAGGGTTTATGAAGGGAAAGGAAAGGCCCTCCCATATTCTGCCCTCTATCCAAATTCACATTAAAGTGCCAACACTGTCCTCCACTCTGAAATCGGCACACCAAGATAGAACCAAAGAAATCAAGGGCCTAGAGATGAATACAATCAGGGAAAACTTCATAGTGGAATAGGTATGAATGTAATCTGAAGAATCTAGCAACTGCAGAAGGTATAAATGGGGGAATTGAAAAAAATAAATATGGAAGATGGTAGCATTCTTGGGAAGGTGTGAGGAGACACCTGTGTAAGAAGGAGGCTGCACCAGCAGAACCTGGAAGCATAAAGTAGAAGGTGAAAGAGTCAGTTCAGTGCAGGGACAAATCACATTCACTGTTCAATGTTTCTGAGTCTGACCCTACAAGAAAAGAACAACAACAAAATATATTTCCAACAACTAAATACAATTGCTAATGAGGTCACCTAGCTTGAGCACTGGAGCCTTGCACACTCAGACATCTTACTTAGAGAAGTGTGAGGTGGTGCTCTGGGCAGGTGGACATGGAGGACCCAGGCTTTCTTTCCTCTCCTCCACACAGGAGATGATTTCCTTCCTCAATCAGGAGGGGCGGCTCACCGAAGGCATCTTCAGAAAGTCAAGCAGCATCAAAGCCGTCAGAGCCCTCAAAGAAAAACTCATGTCTGGAGCCCCAGTGGACCTGCACCAGGAATCCGTGTTTGTGGTCGCCTCAGTGTTAAAGGTAGGACACAGCCAGCATCACCCAGCATCACCCAGGGAGGCAACTTCTGTCTGAGTGTTCTGTCTGTTTACTTTGTCTTCTCAACAAGTGCTGCTAAATATTTGCCTAACAAGCACCCTGCACTGCCTTCTTCAAGGAAAGTTGAACAAAGGCACAAAGTCAAAGCAAATTTGTGAATGTTTTGACAGAAATGGTCAAAGATTCCCTTCATAACCAAAGTTGAAATGAATCCTCTAGTGATTTGCAGGCCAGCATAGCTCAGCTCATGCCAGCATTCCTTCCTTTCTCCAACAAATTTACAAGAAAGGTGGTGTGGATACACAGGCATTCCTCTCCTCTAAGTATCTCACCTCTGGGCCTTTCATCATGTCTATCTTTCTTCCATACATCCCAGCATTGTAAGTACATTAAAAAGTCATTTCTTACACATTACCCATAAATTTGCTCATTAACATGAATAAAGCAGCCCAAACAGCTGTGTCTCCTGAAAATTCACCAGAGTTTTACCAAAGGTATATTAGGTTTGAAATGATACAGGTAGATTACAAACATCTTTATATTTTTAGAAGGAAGTATTTGACAGAGAACAAATATATACATTTTGGTCTTTGTGAACACCACTGTAGAAAAACATGTGACAATGGTTAAAAATGGCTTCATAAAAATAGTGTATTTTTCTCACTTATTCTAGGTTTCCTTTATGTCTTTTCATTGTTGGTATAGACATTAGCCATGCTAATAATTTGTGGCCAGTGATGGGCTAGGACAATAGGCATGTATTACCATGCAAGGAAGTAACGATGTTGGTACTGCCCACTGGAAACTCACATCCCATACTAGTAAGAGGTAGAGCAGTGCATCTCAGCTTCTTGAGTCTTGCACTTGGGGATAACATGACAGATGCATACAGAGTTCTGCTAACCCAGCCTAGATGATGAATATAAGCCTGGAGATGAATATAAGCTCAGGACCATGATGAATGTACCACTGAACCATTTAGAGAGTGTTCACACAACACCAAAGACCCTGAGCATTTCCCTCCTTTGTGTCTTCTTGTGTCTATACATTTTAATAATAGGCCCTAGGTAAGGTATGAAGAATTAGTGATCAGTTGTTCAAAACTACCTTGAGGGACAAACTTACATGTACAGGTCACTAACTCTGAGATTCATATGTCCAAAGTTGGCAACATCCAATTCGGATTGATTCATGTTGGTGAGGTTGGACAGATGCTCTCACCTACCAGGCTGAAAGACACATAATATAGCTACTCTTTATGGATGTAAATGGAAAGCTAACCAACTGATACTCATAGGTATAACGTGATGTATTTCTTATCATTCCAGAGTCTTGGGGAATTTTAACCCAAGATTCAGTAATAACAAATTGTAAAACTAAGCCTTCCCTTATGATATGTACAGGAGTATTTGTTCAGAAAAACATTACTTATTCAATAAACTGGAAAGGAATAGGTGAAATGTGTGGGCCTACTTCTGCTCAGCAATAGGATTTAAAACCACTGCATAGCCAGCTTTGTCCTTTAGAGTGGATTGTTCCTGTCAATTAGGGGTTTTCAGAAAGATGGAGAGATGGGTCTTCACCCTCACAGTCCCTGAACACAGGTGATTGTGAAGTTTCTTCAAGTAGGGACTGTTCACTTAGTGCATTTAAGTTCCTGGCTCTTATTTTACATTCTGCTCTGTTATATATGGGTCCACCTTTTAATTTTGAGGGAGAATTCCTCTGAGGAGGAGAGCAGCCTGTTATGAAACAGAGTTGTTCCTTGTGACAAGAAGGAATTCTATTGTTTCTGTTTGAAGCAAAGACAGTGCATCCATGTTTCCAAATACTTTGTTTCTGAATTTTGTTTAGCAGGTCCCTAATCCCTCCTGCCTCAGCTCCACTGTTTGTGCTTTCAGTTCTGGTTGGGAGGCTGCTGGCATCTGTCTTAGGTGTGGTGTAGAAAGGGCAATGTAGGTCACAGAATCATTCATGGAGATGGGGTATGGGGGTCCATCCATTTCTTCCATGTATATGTTATGATTGTATGACATAGTTTGCGCCATTACAATATCCTGCTTTTGTCTCTGGAAGGATTTTCTTCGCAATGTACAAGGCGGTGTATTTTATACTCCCATGTATGAGACATGGCTTGGGATCATGAATGAAGACCGTGAAGACGAGAAAATCATTCTGGCCCAGAGGTAGGATGCAGGAAATTAACCTGTTCTGGTTAATAAATCCAACTTTTACACTCTTAGGAAAAAGTAGCTCTATGGATTTGAGTGTTGAAGCTACTGAAATAATTGTGAGTGTTAAAAAACGTTTTGTTTGGTCAGATGCATGCAGGATTTCACAGAGGCAGGCAATAATACTCTGTGTGTCAATGATGGTTTTCCTATGCTATTTTGTCCATGGCATCATTCCCATGTATATATAATGAAAGTTGATGCGAATGGAAGCACATTATACTGATTGATACATGTAACTAGGGGATTATCTCACCTTGGTCAAATACTTACATAAACATCAAAGTCTATATCTAGAATCTCTTATTATAGTATGTAGTTTGGGATGTAATCACTAACCCTGAGTTTATAACTGCCCTTTCAGAAATAATGTAGCTGATTTTTCAGGAAGATTATAGTTGAGTATAATGTGAACCAATACAGAATTTATTTTTAAAGACATTATTATTAAATTAATCTTTATACATTCATTCCAAGTCAATGTGGAGTGTGGTCATCTGAAGGAAATATTTTATGCACTAAAGTATATGATTCCTTTTCTATACTCTCACTGAGTTCTGTGCAATGTACAGAAAAGGTACTTTTTGTATTTAGATTCTCCCACAAGAAATTAGTTGCATGAAGGTGTGTTTTTCTGAGTTCAGTCTTTTAGAAATGCTGCCCAGAGTCAACCAACTGCTGCTGAAACATCTGTTTGGAATGTTAAGTCAAATCCACCAGAATTCCTCCCTAAACCTGATGACCTCCTACAACCTAGCTGTGTCCACAGCCCCCAGCTTGATGTTTCCGCCCCCGGATGCCAGGGCAGGATTTGATATGCAACTCATGAGAAAGGTAATGGCCTCTCCTAAGTTCATTGTGACAACAGAATGACTGGTTGGATATGGAAAGACCAGCCTGACAGAACAGGACTTAAGGAAACAATGGACTGCAGACCTCAGGAAAAGAGATGCTCACCCTATCTCTGGTGAGGTTTACAAACATGTGCAGCAAGGAGAAAGCAGCAGTGTGGTCCTTTCTCTTTCCCTTCAGTATAGAGGAGTCTAGGCTGACCAAACCCTAGGGAAGAAAGGAGAATGACAATAGTGACCATGAACTGCAGCTTTGGAGTTAATCCACCAAAATTCAGCTCTCTTCTTGCCATTGTGGATCTGTGATCTTGGGATGGTTTTCAAGCTAGTGTCTTCCTCGGTACAGTGGAGATGGAGATTCTGCACAGTGCTCGGCCCTTTAAGAAGGAGTTTAAAGTATGAACACTGGAGACTCTCTTGTGCATGTGGGTTCCTCTTCCATTTGTTTTCATTCAGAGAAAGATTGGTCCCTGTTGATAAGCCATCAGATTCCCGTTAGTAAAGAGAATCATCTAATAACTTGTACTGATCTAGTCCATAGAGTGAGACAGAGAGATGAGAGGAACAGACTAGAATCCTTCAGTATTCTTTGAGCTCAGCTCCTTAGGTTTACCTCCCACTAAGTGAAACATCTTCAACTTTTCCTCCCAAATGCACTCAAGTAAAGAAAACAATTTCTCCAGGTTTTCTTTGAGGGATGTTGAACATATAAACTATAGCATATTCCTCATTCACTTGAAAAATAAGAAACCAGTGAAATATTCTAAATCATCTTCACAGTAACACAGGGAGAATGAGACCTGGTTGGGTGCAGGGGCTCTTCCTTCCCCACAGCTCCACACACCAGCTGTCCTGAGTTTAAGGCACGGCACTTTGGAAATGAATTATGTCAGTTCATTCTATTCAATGATTTTCTTTTCAACATTAGCATATACAACAGTAAGCATACTATTTAGAGATATAACAATGATGCTATAAGGAATATATAATTTTGGATATTACAAAGAAGTTGGCAGTTAAGCAAAGTGACTCACTGTGCCTCTAGTCCATTCATTGTGTTTCAAGTTCTGGGCTATAAACACCCTCCATAGGTTGTTAGTTTTGTCTTTGACAAAACTGGTTCCTAGATAATTTTCAATTTAAATTCTGAGTTTCTCCCCACATTCCTCAACCTCGCTGTGTTTGCTCCCAGTCTCACACAGCAGATGATTCATAACTGCCAAATGACAAGAGTGGTTTATGTGTCTCCTTTTGTGTGACAGGTTGCCCTGGTGCAGTTTTTGATTGAAAACACTCCCAGAATCTTTGCCAAAGACTTCACTCTTGTCTTGTAGGAGAGCTCAGGTACTGTGGAAATGTGAGGTGGCCTCAGGAAGCAGGAACAATTTAAATGAACAGTTGAACTACCCTTGGGGAGGAGCAGCAGGGAGGCTGCCCAGGCTTGGGAGATGCTTTAGGCCATGGCCAATGCAGAAGATTCTATCCTGAGGGGAATGGTGCAGGCCAGGGCCCCACCTCTTTCTCTTCCCAAGGCTGATCACAGCTATTACCCTCTCAGGAGACCAAAACCAGGACAAAATGTGTCTGTTTTCAAAAGGCTATAGTGCAATCTCACAATTAGTTTCTTTCAGATCTCAAATTCCAGCAGATCATGTCAGAATCTGAGGATTCCTGTCAGATTCTTTGTGAAAAATAGTTTTTAACCAATTGAATAAATGTAGTAGATTTTTCTAAAAAATCCAGGTCAGCTTCGTAGTTAATTATAGCTTCTTCACCATGATTCATCTCACAAATTGAGCTTAGATTCAGTACCTCAGGCCTTATATTTCTATTTTCTCCCTTTCATGTTTTTGTGGTGTTTATCCCACTGCTTTGAGAAACTCTTTAGGATAGTTCTGTTTGTCAGGATTTGAGATAAGAATTGGAGGCTATGTATACCAAGATTTTTTTTTTGTTCATGTTTCTTTTTAGACTGATAACGAAGCTATGATTGTGTGAGCACCACTGAAGCCCAGATCACATATTTTTGGCTCCCCAATTCTTCTTCCCATCTTTCCAAATCTAAAGACCTTCCTAGTCCACAGAGTACACTAAGTTTTTCACTTATATTATTTTGTCTTATGTTAATTGTTGATATAATAAAATGAAAACAAAATTCAGTGTGTTGGCCAGCCATTTCTTGGTTCATCGGTTTGTGGGTGGTAGGTCTGCTGTTCTGGTTCAACCAGTGACATGTGTGGAGCTGTATCTGCAGCCTTTCCCAGATATCAAAGTGGGCAATGGGTATTCAAGCTCCTGTTCTGTTCATGCCAGTCTGATCAAGAGTCCCATAGCCAACACATCAGTCAATGTAGGTAAAGGCTGCAGAGGGGCATACAAGACAAACTCTAAAGTCATTAGATAGAATGGTGTTTGTTAATTTTGCAGGATTATTCATGTAAGTGAAAAGTCCTGGAAGTATATTCTCAAACAGCTTCACTACCTCATATGCTATATTTCTCTCCAACAGTCTTGAGTTCTCCATTCTTCATTCCAGCTTTCCCAAAAATGTGTTCACTAGAAAGGCTGAAGGAGATAATAGCAGACTATAAGCTCTCTGTGGAATAAGGGCAGATATTTTCCCCTAAAAGATTCCTTGCCCCCCACCATTTATCCCTTAATGTTACCAGGTATAGATGCCACAGCAGAAATGGGTTGGAGAAAGCACTTTTAACTGCTTATTCTTTAAAAATAGTTATTTTCCTAGGTAAATGGGATGCAATCACAACATGAAGAGTTAGGTTAAATATTAGTGATAAAGACCGAAGAGAAGCCTGACAATGTTGCTCATGCCTAACATCACAGTTAATGGAGAGGCTGAGATCTGAGGATTGGGCTTCCAAGTCAGTCCTGAGAGGAAAGTCCATGATACCTCCATTGCCTATTATCCTCAGTCATCACTGCTAGACCATGAACTAAAGCCAGACATGCAGCACACACACATGTGCATGTGCATGTCCACACACACATACAAAAATGATGTGAAAATATACTGTACATGAGTTTTATTATTATAGATAAATATTAAAAGGAAGCAAGAGACCCTCTTAGAATAAAAAATAAAGGTCTGAGTAATAGGAAATTTACCTGACAACAGAGGTCAGAAAATTATCCCCATCCAAGGTGGTAATGCACATCACAAGGAGGAACACTGGATTTGAGTGACATACGTGCTTGGAAGAGCCTCACACACCAACTGTTCAGGAGGAGACAGTAGTATACAGATCATCTCACAGACACAAGTGTGCACAGAGGAGGTCCAGATGAAGGTTAGCTTCTCTCCCCCCTCCACGTTCTCACCAGGGTCTGAGCTCAACACAGACACATTCCTCGTCAACAGGGAAAGCCTGACCTCCACTGAATAAAAATACAGAATCAAACTAGACCTGTACTTTTGAAAAATAAACAAGAGTATATTCATTACCTCCTAGAATTCAGTTTTAGCCTCTCATAATACGTAAGTCTGCCTTTTGGCTGGACTTGTTTCACACCTTTGACCAAACATGATTGTAAGAAGCAAAACATGTTTCAGAATCAAAAGTTTTAAATTTGCACACCTGTATTAATCAGCTCATTTAATGCACAGCAGCTGAATATTTGTTTTCACATCACAAGGTAGCCTGCTGTTTTCTTGGACTCAATTTTGTGAAAACCCATTTCCATTACAGCAAATATAAGGGAAATGCAAACACACTTTCAAAAATTACAAAACAAAGACTAGTCTACTATTTTCCATTCATGCATTATCTTGTGTCTTGTTACAAGTTTCCCTATTCAAATAAGCAAATGATTTAGTTTATTTTTTTTCAGGACAGTCCAACACCCATGGAAATAAGTTATAAACACTTCAGGATGAAACCCTGTGTGTTCTAAATTATAGGTCATTGTGCTCCTTTTGGTCCAAGTGCATTTATGATCCTGGACATATATTAGCACAGCTAGGTCTGTATCTACTGGTTTGTTCATCTTTGGAAAATTTCATTGGATTTCCATATTTGTGTGTGTGAGATTGTATGTGTGTGTGGTGAGTTGGCCTACTATTTGTCTTAACATTTGACTTATCCTTCAAAAATCTTCAGTGGAATTGTTGATTGTGTGTGTGTGTGTGTGTGTGTGTGTGTGTGTGTGTGTGTGTGTGTGTGTGTAAGAGAGAGAGAGAGACTGCCTGTGATAGTGGGTACCTGTGCTGGGGTTTGAACTCAGGGACTATTGTTGTCTCCGAGCTTTACCACTTAAGCCACAAATTCACTTTCAGAGTTTTGGTAGCTAATTGGAGATAACTGTCTCTTAGACTACCTCACCAAGGCTGGCTTCTTACCATGACACTCAGATCTCAGCATACTGAGTAACTAGAAATATAGCCACCTTGGCTCAGTAGAGTTCTGGACTTTTTTCAGTCACTTTAAAGATCATCTACATTGCATCATTTCTATGTATCTGACTCATGTTCTCCCTTTCCTGATGGAGATATTTGATGTAGCTAGGCAGGACACAATTCACCACTCTCTGGAAAACAAATACATTTTTTTCCTGTGACCTTTTCCAATATAGACATTTTGTCAATATAATGATATAATGAGTTAGTTCTGGTGGAAGGGAAGTTAGATGTTGAAATGACAGGTGTTATTTGGTCAGGGCAGGCTGTCTGAGTTATGAAAATGTCCCTGTGGACTCCATTACTTTGTACAATAAACATGTTGTAATTACAATGTGAAAGTGGATAGAGACTCTACAGGTAACAGTCCACATGGTTCCTCAAGTTTAGCTTGGTTTAGAAAGGGTTAATGAAGTCTGGAAGGGCTAATGGATATGAATTTCTGTCTGCTACTTGCCACTCTGGGAATGTTGCCCCTCTTTTACTGTCTTTTGATTTCTCCATTGAAGCAAGGATTTTCTTTGTTTGTTTTGAGGCATGGTGACTGGAGCGATGGCCTGGCTAGACAGGTGTTCTACACTATGCACCTGACAAGAAGCATATGCTTGCAAGGATTCTGAGAGCCTTAAAGGCCTGGGGAGTGTGGATGAGAGGTTCCCATCCCTGCTGTGTGCAGATCCCAAGAGCAGTTCATTTGTAATAAGCCAAAGTGGAAGCAAGATAGAATCCTCCATGGGCACAAGGTCAAACAGCGTGCCCTGGGTCATTGAAGAAAATTATCTGAGAGCATGATATTAGTGAAAGGCACTCCCTAAAAGTGTGGATGAAAAGGGTTCTGAATAATAGAGGAATGTATTTTATTTTCTTTTATTATTTTTTTGTGTGGGTGTCTGGCCATGGGGCCTGAGTTCTGGGCCTGGGCACTGTCCCTCAGCTCTTCAGCTCAAGGCTAGCACTCTACCACTTGAGCCACAGCGCCACTTCCAGCTTTTTTCTTTTCTGCTTATGTGGTGCTGAGGAATCCAATCCAGGGCTTCATGCATGCAAGGCAAGCACTCTACCACTGAGCCACCTTCCCAGCCCAGGAATGTATTTTAAATGAGTGTATTATAGAAATGTATAGAAAGCCAAAATGAAACTATTGCCAATTAGTTTTAAAAGCTAATTCAAAAGAGAAATAGGTTGGTTGCAGGTTCTCTCTTGTAATCCCAGCTCCTCAGGAAACTGAGGTAGGATGGCTTAAAGCACAACTGGCCAAGGAAGTGTGAGAAACTGTGATCTTCAATAAAGAACAACAACAACATCAAAAAGCTAGAAGTGCAGCTGTGGCTCAAGTGGTTAGAGTGTTATCCATGACCAAATTAAGCTTAGGGAAAGTACCCTGGCACTGTGTTCAAGTCAAATGATTGGCAAAAGTAAAAAGAGAGAGAAAGAGAGCAAGAAAAATTGCACTATCAGATAATACCAAGTGATATAATCTGAGAACTTGTACCTGAGGACTCCTTGTGGAAAACTTGGTTCCAGAAGGCAGTGTTTAGAGATATTGAGGTCTTAATTAAGAGGGACCCCTGCAAAAGATCATGAAATAACTGGAGTGCTGCTCTCTGAAGGATTAGAGTATGACAGGTGTGGTTAGTTCTCCTGAGAGGATTGTACTAATGACAACCCCTGCTCTATGCAGTCTGTCAGCTTCTTAGCTCAGCATAGGCTCTTTCCATGGTGCTCTTGGTCCTTGAGCTATGACCAAGAATAGGTGGCCCTGAACTGGACCCATGTTTCAGGAAAACCAGTCTTGATTCCTAAAATTCTTTATTATATGCCCAGCCTCTCACATTTTTGTAGCATTGCAGTTAAACAAATATACTGGGTTATGATGCAGTGCAGCACACTTTAGGGCGGTACTAAAGGGAGATAGAAAAATGTATGTACTATAGGTAGCATATTTTACAATAGCAAACTTATCTACAGTTATCTCAAAGAAATTTTGAAAGGGAGCCAATCAGGAAGGAAGGGGATGTTTAGACCAGGCACAGTTTAGGTCCAGATGAGAGTTACCTCTCCTCCATATCCAACCCTCACCAGTGACTGGGCTCAGCACAGACACACTCTTGGTCAACAAGGAAAGCCTGACCTTCACTGAATAAAAGTACAGAATCAAAGTAGATCTGAGCTATTGAAAAAGATGCAAAAGCGTAATACCTACTAACATCTGTTCATAGAAATTACAACTTAGTATCATTCTGACTTTTGTGGATTTATTTCACACAGTTTGATGAAGCCTTGTTCTGAAATCCAAAGGGGTTTCAGAAAGAAAGTTTTCCATTTCTACAACTGAGAAGGGCAGCTCCCTTAATGCACAGCATCTAAATCCTTTCTAGCTTGTTTTGTTTTTATATCAGAGACGTTCTGTTTCCCTAGAGTTAAATTTTTGAAAATCTGTGCACCATAAGCTAGTGTGTCAACAAACAAACAAGGGAAGTGACAAAGCAAACTATTTTCTTTAGTCAAATAAGTCCGTCCTTAGTCTTTAGATGTTGGGTGGCCTTATGAGAAAAAGTAATAAACATAACTAGCACAGAAAGGAACTCTGTGAATTCTGGGCATGTGTAGATATTCCTGAGGAAGGAATCTTAGCATCACACAAAAATAATTTGCCCTAGTAACACAACAATGTAACATTTCATTCAGGCAATGCATTGT